GTCCTCCCCACCCTTCCCCCGAGGCTAGTCCCCCTTTAACCCCCGACGCCGAAGCTCTCATCAAAGGCCCGGCGTTCGTTCCGGAATCACCACCGACGGAGGCGCTTGCCGCGCCCGCTCCCCCTATCCGCCCACCGTCTCCCGTGCGTAAGGCCGGTCGCCGCCCTAAGTTTACGGCTGGCGATGACCTGATCATCGCGCGGGAGGTTGCCGCATCGAAGGCCCACGTCCCTGCTTATGGCGAAATTCAGAAGATGTTCGCCACCGCCGCGACTAAGGCAAACTCGAACAAGGATCTATCGGTCAAGGTGACGGCGAAGAGCATCCAGGATCGCTACAAAAAGATCCAGGATGCCTTCGGCCGTCGTGATGCAAAGGATAGCCGGCTTTCGGGTGTGGGTGGAGAGATAGGTGAGCTCGGCGAGCTGCTCTCTATGATGGCAGGAGCAAGGAATGACGTCGAGAAGGCTAAGACAGCAGAAGTCGTTGCCGCCGAGGCGAAAGAAGCTCGCAAAGAGCGTATTGAGATGGAACTCGTCGCGCGGGCTCTGACCCGCAAGGGCAGTGGTGGAGTAAGCAGCCTGGAAGGAGATGAAACGGATGACATCGTGGAGGTTGATGGCAATGGAAGTGCCCGCAAGAAACCGCGTCGCCAAGCACGTGATTACGACGAGATAGAAGGGGAGCTTGAGGGTTTCGGAAACGCGCTGCGCGATGCCGACATGGCGCGTATTGAGCTTGAACGCGAGCGCCTTCAGTTCGAACGCCATCGCCTGGATCGAGAGACAGAGGAACGGCAGAAGGATCGTGAGGAGAGACGTATGGAGCGCCAAGCACAAAACGAGCTTGATCTGAACAAAATGAAGATCATGATGGATTCTATAATGGGTGCGCAGGGAAGTAGGTAGGCATCGACAAACGGGTCTGAACAGTCATTTTACGGCTCGACGGATCGTTCCGACTAGAGAAGATACAACGAAACCGGCCTAGCGTCTGCTCGCGCAGGGCTCCCTGCGGGGATACGGACGAAGTCCGCTCTCGCTACGCTCGGCAACTCGCTCCGCTCGGCACGCGGGCTTTGTCCTCACTCCTCGCTCTCCTGCGCGAGCATTGAGTTGTTTTTGTGAGCTAGGTAGTCTTCGAGAGTGGGAGGCTTGCAGAGGAAGTACTGCGAGATGGTGTTGGGATATACGCAATTGCGAAAGTTTGTAAGCAGCATCGCAGCGAGGTAAAGTGCCCTGACCGGAGATTCCCACGTTCGCATCTTTCGACGATAGTCTACCGTCGACCAGTAAAGCTTGACTTCCTTGAAAAAACATTTCACAGTAACCCTTCCCTTGGACATAGCCTTGTTGATGGCATTCTGGTATCCGGTCAATTGTGACCCCTGGAAGGGGACCTCCAAGAAGTTGCGTTCGTTATACCCTGAGTCTGCGTACAGACAATACTGCAAACCATCCACCACCATGACCTCCTCCAGCTCCTCATCGAGACCACTTCTACAGTAAAGTGTCCAATCATGGCGCCGTCCCTCCAAAGCCGCCGCGTGAAGCAATAATCCATCAGGCGCGATAACGGCTTGATACTTGAGAGCGTGCTTGCGCTTTTGTCCATTGTAGGCAACGTCTTGAGCGGCGCTACCGCATGGCCGAGCAATCGCGATTACAGTGCCGTCAATAAAACCAACGCAGTTAGAAAGCCGTCACACTTTTCCTTTACAGCATGGCCGTAACCTGATGCCCGTTCGCAAATGAAAGAGAAATGCATGGGTCCTGTTATCATTTGGACGAGATCCTGGAGCATCTGCTCTATACCCTCCCAGAAAATTTCAGAGAGCTGCGCCCCATGCCGTCCAAACAGAAACTCCATATCCTGCCGCCTGCTGCGCGTGCTTAAGCGCCTCAGTATGACGCATGCGACTAACAACGGACTGCACCTATACCTGTTCCGATTTGTAACATACCCAACCCAACCCACCGCTGTGACCATCCTAGTAAGATCGCTCTTAGTAAACCGAAAGAACGATAAACAACAAGCGTTAGTCAATGCATTAAAGTTAAAGGAGAACTCGGAGAGAGATATACGGTTAGAACGTCTAATGTATCGTGTGTATTCTTGTCGCTGCGCTGTGTAGCCCTTGACACAAAAAGAGAGAGCGCTTGTGCTCCCTATAATAGATCCCGAAGCGGAGAGGCGGCGATGTGCGGTTGTGCGAAGGGCAACACGCCATTTGCGGAATCGCACGGCTGCGATGGACACAGAGTGGTGGCGGTGTCTTCCGCGGTGTGGCATGTTGCCTCAACACCGGAAAATGGGACTAGCGTCCTACTGTAGGCTGTCGTCGTAATACTCCTTCGTAATACTCATATGACGATCCGCGCAGTCCTTGCGTAAACTAAAATGGAACGTTTGGCAAATTGACCTTACTGCAAATTTTTTTTACAGAGTATTTGTCACATACATTCCAGAAATCTTGGTGCGTAAAGCCTTTAATAGCCAAGTATGGATGGCGGTGGTCCGGAGCGTTCTTATTGGACGAAATGGCTTTCGCCACCTTATGGCCAATGGCCCTATGATATGCCGATCTTGGCAGCGACGAGCGCGAACACAGACCGTTACGTCATCGATGACGCAATTGCGCATCGAGAGGGAGTATGCGGCTGTGCCTCGGTGAGCTATGTCGTGTAGACGTCCCTTGCGCGTCAGCAACTTGCCCTCCCTTGTACGATCAAGGGAGGAGCGAGGCAAGCTGGAATGAAAAAGGGGGTTGCCGGCGTCTCTTCGCCCGCGCAACAAAGCAAGACGACTCTTTACTCTGTCAAACCCTCGTGCCCCTCTCCTCGCTAGCCGGGCTGAGAGGGGCACGCATATACTACAGTACAGCGAGCGCCATGGCGGCGGCGCAATCCGCCGTCGTCTAGAGCGTAAATCTAATAAAGGAATTAAAATTCGCATACACGTGGCGCTGACTCCCAATGGGAGCCCGCATTTAGGGCTCACCCAGATACTTAATGCGCGTGGGAGCTCGCACTGTACCCCGGGGACATCCGCACGCACACAAAACGTTCACTGCTTCTTTCCTGTTCCCCGCCCGCCCTATACCCGCGACATGCTCAGTCAATTGCTAGTCGAAGAGGCGCAAACTCTGTTGCAGGGAAACAGGGAGAGATAAAAGGGAGCAAGCATAAGCTGCTCTAAAAGTAACGGCATCGCTCTCTGGGCCAAAGTTTCCTAATTCCAGAGTGGGGAGTAGCAAGGGATTTAAGAGTGAGGAGAAAAGGAGTATTGGGATCTAGGGTAGGCGGTATGCTAAGGCTGATTTGGGCAAAAGAACATACATAACTAGTTGGTTGAATATTCTCACATTCTATGTACAGAGTGGGCTCTGTTCGCATGTTTATAACACCCCCCACAAGGAAGAAAATTTAGGTGGAGAGCAAAGCACACATAATAGGTAGCGATAGCTTGCTTTGCCTACAAGCTGCTCCCCTGGGGACTCCCTGGAGACGAGTAGTGGGCACGACGAATTAGTGAGTGTGGTGGAAGGTATGATTTTGCATAGTATGTGTATGGTCGGAACGGCCTGTTTGTAAAAGTTGTACTCTCATTTCGCATTTATTGAGCGCAGTCATCTGTCGAGAGCATGCTTAGGGCACAGGCATAATCCAGGATAGGGGTCATACATCTAGTATGTAGGACCTGGGAGCCCATCAGGTGGTCGGCTGAGGATAAATAGAATACGTTCGAATATCTACAGTTGCAGTAGCGACGCGCTCTTCCAATATATCCAACCATTTAGAAAGACCTATTTGTACAGAAACGATATTGTACCGTAGTCAATTTTCGCTAACCGGAGAAAATTTCGCACTGCCGTCTCTTTTGACGTGAAAGTGTGTTCATGTTTTCTAAGGTTACCGTAGAACAAAACAGCGCCGGGCGGCAAAGCGCAGAGATAAACCGTAATGAGTGCATTGATAAACTGCAACTGGTATACTGTACAGTTGGGAAATTACCAGCGGTCAGGGGTTTGGATGATACGTATGAGGGGGTAGCATGAGGGTCGAGACTCGCTCGAGCAGATAAAGTAGATGACGATGTGGATGCGGAATAATTCGGAACACAGTCTGATCGGCACAAGTCGCCGGCTACCTTCCCTCTCCCCAGGGTAGACCCGATATCATTTTCCTTTAATACATGCGCGTATCGCTCGGCCATGTTCTTCATGGCCTCTGCGAATGCGCTGTAATCGCGATGTGCTTGCGAAGCGACCCTTGCCAAATGCAAGATATGCGTTTGGCCTCTTTGCATGATGCGACCTCCCCATCGCTCGGCATTGTTCTACATCTGTAGTAAGGAAATGCACTCGGTCTTCACCACGAAGACAACCCGGACAGGTACAGTACTACGTCCGTTCGACGATTTCAAGTTCAACAGCAGTAAATTACTGCACTGCCGCCTTGTTTCAATTTTCCGTCCGTCCTGCGTCTACTGTGTACTCTCTGGCCAATCGTTTGCGGCATCACTTCCGGGAACTTTGTACAGTACCCGATGGCTCCAGTGCATTACAAACCGACGCCCACACGTGTGCTTTACAGCGGGTGTTGTATATGACAAGGAAAATATGGTCCCTCCATCAAAATATTTCTAGCTAAACTCTTTCTTTTTCCAAAAATTGGATAACCACCACCATCTTCTTTTTCTGTTGAAATTCTAGAATTGAGCATTTAAAAACTTATGCGCTTGGTTCTCGTTCTATGCTGATGCCTTACTCAGGACATGTCACCATAATCGCTCGTGATCTGTGCGCACGCTGCTCGGGCTTCTCATTCCTCTACAAATTCTCGCTGCGGTTTCAAGTCACGGCAGAGCTTACTGGCGACAGCAGCTTGTGAAGTCGAAGCCCAGCGTAATCCTGTTTCTATTTGTTCATCGAGAACATAGCAAAACCAACTTCGCCGAGTTGTTCATTGCGCGTCGGAACATATCTTCGACCACTCGACATGGTCTTCGTGAAATCATTCGCGGTGAATGGAAGTCATGTGCGTCGCACGGATCAAGTATTAGAAGTCGATTTTCCGTACATGCAGACAAGCGTGGAGATGGAGCCGAAATCCACTGAAGCCGTCGCAGTCTTAGTGAAGCAAATGTACACTTTCCGTACTCAACTAAAAGTTGCTCGCCTGGGCGTAATGCTAGTGGGCTGGGGCGGAAACAACGGCTCCACGCTTACAGGGGCCCTTATCTCTAACAAAAGGCAAATTTCATGGAACACCGCAAAGGGACCGAGAGCTCCAAACCTTTTCGGGTCGGTTGTGATGTCGTCAACTGTGCGCGTGGGAGCAAATTCTGCCGGAGAGGATGTCTTCGCTCCCATGCATGAGCTCTTGCCTATGGTACATCCAGATGAAATCGTGCTTGGTGGTTGGGATATTAACAGGGCAAACCTCGCTCATGCCATGCAACGTGCTAAGGTGTTCGACTATGACCTCCAACGCCGATTGATTCCTCATATGGAATCTCTAGCTCCGCTTCCTTCTGTGTACTACCCCGACTTTATCGCATCGAATCAAGAACAACGAGCGGACAACGTCCTACCAGGAGATAACAAAACTGAGCATCTCAATATCATTCGCCAGAATATAAGAGAATTTAAGCGAGACAAGAACGTCGATCAGGTCATTGTACTCTGGACTGCTACCACCGAGCGATTTTCTGAAGTCGTACCAGGGATTAATGACACCGCAGAAAATCTTCTTGACGCCATTAATGCCTCCGAAGAAGAAATATCGCCTTCAACTCTTTTTGCAGTCGCGTCAATCCTTGAAGGTGCCCCTTACATCAACGGTTCTCCGCAGAATACCTTTGTTCCAGGATGCATACAGTTGGCGGAAAGGAAAGGCGTTTTTATTGCTGGAGATGATTTCAAATCAGGGCAGACAAAATTCAAGTCAGTTATGATTGATTTCTTAGTCAATGCAGGCATAAAACCGACCGCCATTGTCTCGTACAATCATCTGGGAAACAACGATGGCCACAATTTGTCGGCTCCTTCCCAATTCAGATCAAAAGAAATATCGAAGTCGAATGTTGTAGACGACATGGTCAAGTCTAATCGAATTTTGTTCCGGGACGATGAACACCCAGACCACATTGTGGTCATCAAGTATGTGCCGACGGTGGCAGACTCGAAACGTGCAATGGACGAGTACACATCGGAAATTTTTATGGGCGGAACCAACACAGTGATCACTCACAATACTTGCGAAGATTCTTTGTTGGCTGCCCCATTAATTTTGGACCTCGTCATTCTTTGTGAGTTGTTCTGCCGCATCACATACAAGACGTCGAGCACAGACGGTTTTATGCCATTTCATCATGTCCTTTCGTTTCTCGGGTATATGCTGAAAGCCCCTCTAGTGCCGAGTGGTACGCCTGTCGTGAATGCATTATTCAAACAGCGGGCTTGTATAGAGAACGTTCTCCGCGTTTGCTCAGGTTTGCCTGTTGAAGATGACTTGCGATTAGAACACCACGTCCATTCCGTAGACATGCGAAATAGAAGCGAGTCTAACTGCAACATAGTCAAGAATGTCTGTCGTCGGGATCATGAAGAATTCTACGCCAACGGCAGTCTTGCAAATGGAAATGGGAGCGTAACATCTTCACGATCCCGAACCCGTCCGGGCGATTCCAAACCTAAGGTGTAAGTCGCCATCTCTTGTGACGCTGCCGTTGATGTAAGGTTCCAACCGTTTTCACCCTTGTATCCTCAAATAGTGTGCAGATGGTGACATTTTGTGGACTTTTCCGGCCGCAGTGAGCCCCCTCGCTCAATGCTGAGTCTCGGTAACCATGCAACATGACAGGCGTTCACTGACGGGATGTGGGCGAGATACACTAAAGTACGGGCACGTGTAGTTGAGCACATCTGGTACACACTGCTGTGAATGTATGCACTGCTTGTTCTGGATAATAAATAAACCTAGAGACCGACACTGGTCAGACTCTACAATGTACCGGAGGGCAGATGCAACGATATTTAGGAAATTCTGCCTCAGACCACAACATTCAAGGATCCCTAGCTGTGGCGACTACTCTGCCGCAACGGACTTTCCGTACTTTGAGGATATTTCTGCTTCAATGCTAGATGGTACAAAATCGTACCCATTCAATACCATATTGTAGCTTGCGCGACCCTTCGTCATAGATCGCAAGTTGCTTACATATGAAAACAGTTCACTCAGCGGGACGAGTGCAGAAATCGTCTTCGCTTTGCCCCTATCTCCAAGGCCTTGCAACTGACCCCTCCGAGATTTCAGATCTCCAATTACATCTCCGAGTGACGCCTCCGGCGTAATTACTTCTACTTTCATGATGGGCTCCATGAGGCGAGGTCCACACTTGCGCATTCCTTCTCGAAAGGCGGCTCTTGCCGCTATTTCAAAAGCCAGAACAGAGGAGTCAACGTCGTGGTATGCACCATCCGTAAGTCGCGCTCTAAAGTTCAACATCGGGAACCCTGCAATAGTACCATTGCCAATCTCTGACAACACACCTTTCCGAACACCAGGAATGTACTCTTTCGGAATAGAGCCCCCTTTGATCTCCGACACGAATTCGAATTCCGAACCGCTAGTCTCGTCGCTGCCCGGATCCATTGTAATTGGAGAAAATTCAATCACGACTCTCGCAAATTGCCCGCTCCCTCCGGACTGCTTTTTGTGAGTGTAGTCAACAGTGTTCGATTTCGTTATAGCTTCACGGTAGCTAACTGTGGGAGCACCAACCGCACAATCTACGTTGAACTCCCTGCGCATGCGGTCGACTATAATTTCAAGATGCAACTCCCCCATTCCTTCAATGACTGTTTGATTGCTTTCCTCATCCCGAGAGAATCGGAAACTAGGATCTTCTTGGGCAAGCTTGCTGAGAGCTTCTCCCATTTTTTCGGTGTCAGCTTTTGTCTTCGGTTCGACTGCGACCTTGATGACGGGTTCCGGAAATTCCATCTTCTCCAGAATTACTTGATTATCTGGTAAGCAAAGCGTCTCGCCAGTCGTGGTGTCCTTAAGGCCAGCAATAGCAACTATATCACCAGCTCTTGCTTCCTTGACATCCTCACGGTCATTTGCGTGCATCAGCAGCATTCTGCCGATCCTTTCCTTTTTACCTTTTACGGTATTGACAACGGTATCCCCAGTTCGCATAACACCAGAGTATACGCGCGTGAATGTCAAGGTGCCAACAAACGGGTCTGTCGCAATCTTAAAAGCCAAAGCAGAGAGGGGCTCCTCATCAGATGACTTGCGCGAAATTTCTTCTCCGGAATCCACGTCGACGCCTCGTATCGCGTCTACATCAAGAGGGCTAGGCATGTAATCAACTATAGCGTCAAGCAACGGTTGAACTCCCTTGTTTTTGAATGCCGTGCCACAGAGTACTGGAACAAATGCACTGGCCATCGTTCCCTTCCGAATGCATGCCTTGAGCGTACCTACCGTGATTTCTTCGCCATCCAAATAAGCCATTAGGGCATCATCATCCTGCTCAACAGCAAGTTCGATGAGCTTCTCATGGTATTCCTTTGCTTTGTCGAGCATGTCTTTTGGGATGTCTTCATAATGGAATTTAGCGCCTAGACTTTCCTCTTCCCAAACCACCGCGCGCATTTCTACTACATCGACTACCCCAGCGAATTCGCTCTCTGCGCCAATTGGCAGCTGTAGTATAGCGGGCGTTGCGTCTAAATTGTCAGTAATCATCTGAACCGTCATGTAAAAATCGGCCCCAGTGCGATCCATCTTGTTGCAGAAGCACATACGGGGAACACCATACTTATCTGCTTGTCTCCAAACTGTCTCGGTTTGAGGCTCAACGCCCGATACAGAGTCAAAGACGGCGACTGCGCCATCTAAAACCCGTAGAGACCGCTCTACTTCGATGGAGAAGTCAACATGGCCTGGTGTATCTATAATATTGATCCTGTACTCATTCCAAAAAGTAGTAGTTGCCGCGGAAGTAATAGTTATGCCTCGTTCTTGTTCTTGTTCCATCCAATCCATTGTGGCAGCCCCATCATGAACTTCACCAATTTTGTAACTCTTTCCAGTGTAATAGAGAATACGTTCAGTGGTGGTTGTCTTCCCAGCGTCAATATGAGCCATAATTCCAACGTTCCGTTGCATCTCAAGGGGCGTTTCTCGACCCATGCGGACGATGCAAGAGGAGCGCTGGGTGGATGGCTTATTGAAAACTAAGTGAAGTCCTTTCGACCATGATGTCCCCAAACGCAACCCTAGCGCCGGACAAGCAGTGAGGCGCTCTCTTGGGGAGACATGCCACCTTCTTGCACGTGAGTTACCAACGGTGAAATGGGGGCTGATCACAAAAGACAAACTCATTGTAACGCTGTGCTGGAATGTTGGATCCAATAGACGGAGTGTTGAGGGTGGAAAGCCCGCTTCTTGAGATGGGGTGAAATTTTGCGGAACGAGAATCTCGTGGATCCGGTGTGTTGCTTGGGGGATGAAAAAAGTGGGAGAGACGGGGGGAGCGCTTAATGTGGCAGAGAACTCGGAGTGGGAGATCAGGAAGTAATCGACTTGCTCGGTTTAAAAAAAGTAGATTTTAGGGCCCCAGACGGAGATCACTGCAATAATGCTCTCTTTTAGTAACCCAAAAGCTGAATGCAGCGGTAGGCGAGGCTGATCATAAGGCATTCCGGTTTTTAAAAAAAACATGTAGGGATTTCGATACTGTAATGGACCTATACCGAAATCAAGAATTTTTTCAGAATAATTAACCAAAAAATCCACTTCGACCGTTAACTAATCCTTTGGAAGTATTTTTCGGTAAACCCTGGACTGGGCCTCGGAAACGATGTTTTGTGGTCGCGGCATGACGGTCGATACTTTGGAGACCAGCACATTTTTGTCGACGAGGATCGACATCAGCACTCACTTCCAGAAATGAGTTCCAGAAGTGAGTGCTGATGTCGATACTTAGATGTTGGAACCAACATCATCCAAACCAGGAAGATGCCTGGGCGATCCGCGTTACGGCCGTGCCTATCGACTCAAGCCGGCCAACTGAGCCCATCTCACTCGTCTTTTACGCCACCACAAGTCCTGATGACCTTGATAAGGAGATTAACACGGTTAGTATGGACGACGCGTCCCTGTGGGGAAAAATGGGCCTTGGTAACGGTATGCATATCTCACGAGAGGAAATCGAAGGGATGTCGTCCTTGAAGGCATTGCAGAGGGTGTTGATGGAAGGCACAGGGTTCCAGTCAAGTGGCTGGAGTTCGGATCTGTTTCTGATGTAGCTAGTGAGGTTCCTTCCTCATTGACAGTCTCCAGATCAAATAGTGCATCCGAGTTTCGGGCGTTTCTGCGCGCAAGGGGCGATGTCCCAGAGATGGAGAGTTTGCCAGTTGATACTTTCCATGTTGCTTCGCTACCATCGGATCCAAAACTTGCTTGGGCCGTTGAAAAGGTCCTTGATCGTCTACTACGGAAGTCTCGTCTTGCTGATCACAATGACCAATCATCTTCTCTCTATGTAACCAAAGGATGCGGTGCAAAGAAACTGTGAGGGTGTGCTCGTGCAGAGGCTTGTCGAAGCACCGTTCCAAATCGACGTGGCGTTTGCTCACTCCGATGGGAGAACGGCCGAAGATGTCAACAGTATTCCCACAAAAAAATTGGGCCATGAAGGCATGCAGAGTCTACTTGAAGCAAGCCGGAAGCGTTTTGATGCCAAATTTGATCGGGCGTTTGAGCTTGGTGCGAAGAACGTCTCGGTAGATGAACAAGCTTTTGCGAAAGCAGCTCTGTCAAATATGCTTGGAATTATTGGGTTCTGCTACGGAAGTTCTGTACCTCAGAAACAGAGAAAGAACTCTACCGGACAGGAGGACTTACAATTCCTGGACGCAGTAGGCCCACTAGCCACCCATCTCGCGCGTTGTTTCCAAGAGGTTTCTTATGGGATGAGGGAAAAGGTTTGCCACGAACGTTACGAAACCATTTTGCCATTGGCGGGCTTACTCAAACCCACAGATCTGCGGATTGGTGCG